TCCATATTCATTGGACTTCTATCCTCAGAAAACACTCCGTTATGTATTAGTTGTAGGGTTTATAGGTTAGACATGCCAGTGAAATAGCATTTAGGCTGGAAAAAATCAACTGGAAGAGCCATTTTAGAGATACTGAAAATACATATGCAAAAAAAGAATCAATTTGTTAGCTAGGGAGAAAGGAATAGCAATTTTCATTTAATAAGAAATACAGCAGTTTAGGTGCTGGAATCTAGAGTAAGGAAAACCACATTAACTGAAAAAAAGAAGTTGCTTTTCTCATTATTGGAGTACCAATAACTGTAGTTGAGTTTCACTATGAACAATGGCTCCTTGATGGTTCTTGTTGAGTAATTTTGTTCAATAAGGATCTGTCAATATAATCTGCTTTCAATTGTTGGTTTTTACAATATCGAGAATAATGGGCTCATTCAGGTGCACTTGGAAATGGTAATAAAATACTAATTTGGGGGAAAAAGAAAACTGATAATCATCTGGTTTAGTATTCTACAGTTATATCTGAGTTCTTTGAGAAGCTCCCTGTAATAAATGTGAACATTACAATGTATGTTAGACAGTCATAGAAAACCAGGCAGCAAAACAGTGAAAGGCGGATATCCTCTGTACAATGTACTTCATGTGGAGGAGGAGTCCTGTGCCCTATGAATGAAACATGGGGCAATGATCCAGCTGCTGACTACATGGGGAGATCAGAAGACTTCACAAGCAAATCACAACACTGATGTTCAAAGAAAGATGTATGTGGAAAGAATAATTTTGATGTTTTCTTTTCCCTCTCCTGTTAATGTAGTTTGAATGCTGAACAGCAAGAAAGAGGTCTGGGAGGTCTGTTTAACAGGAACTTTTCCATAGTTTCTCATATCCTGACACCCATCTCTAGCTGTTCTTGTGAACAGAAAAGCTCAGGAAAGGAGTTTAGCTTGAAAGAAACAGTAGGAAAGGCATTTGCTTTCCCTCCCTTCCTTTCCAACTTGGCAAGCTTAACAATCAGTCTGACACTCTTCAAAGACAGCAGCATACCACATATTTTTCTATCCGGAACTTCTGCCAGGCAGTATGGGTATGCACTTATGTAAGAAACCCTGTACACACGGCTGAAATCAAGAGCTGCCAACACACAGCAAGAACAGTAAACTAAGAATTTCCCCCAAATGGAACAAAGAACACTCAACTTAGTTTGGAAGAGCTGGCATTTGGAAAACATAGATGTAGCACTGGCAATTTAGTTATTTGGTTTTTCACAGCATGTGTATATATGTGCGTATGCAACTGAAAGGAAGGGGCAAACTTCCACAGCTCGCGCCAGTGCAAGTCTGATGAGGACTGTACACTGCTAAGTGGTTTAAGAATTCTATTTAATATATGTAAGGATATCAAATGAGAAAATATTACTTATGTGAATCCATCTGTCATTATAGACCTACGTTAACTAAGCCATGTGAATTTGTACTGCTAACAGGGGGGATAATTAGAAACTAAGTAATTTGTGACATAAAGGATCAATAAATCAAAAGGAGCTGTCTGAAAATGGGCTTGTTTTTGCAAAAATCTAGGATAGATATTTGCAGGCCTGCCAAAAGCTTTACTTCTACTGAAATGGCAGTACAGCAGTGACAGACTTCTGATGTAACTATCAAGTACAAGCATAGTTATGTCTAGGCTTAAAAACCACCTACATCTGAGGCAATCTATTTATACAGAAAGATGCAATGCCTCCTGCCAGCAGCATAAATTAATGTTTAATTTGGCTAAATGAGGATACCCTTTTACGTAAGTGAACCTTTGCGGAGTGCAAAAGCAGACACCCTATTACACAATACCGAACATCATCTGCCAGTGCAATGGTAAAAGAAATACAACCCCCACAACTACTGAATGAAAAGTATAAAGGGAAAAAAGGAAACCAACAGCTACACTGCCCTGCCAAGCTGATTTTCAAACACTTATTTATAGCATGCTTTCCAGTTTATTTCTGTGTTTCCTTTAAAACATCTGTGGGGGATTTTGTAGAGAAAGAAGATCTAAAAGCATTTTGTCTTTAGTAAGGAATAAATTTTCCAACTATTTTGGAGTAAATCTGCCACTTAGCTTGAGTTAAAGGCTTTGGAAAATAAAACCCATCCCATTATCTTTGTTCCAATGACTGTAACAGCAGAATAATGCAGGCATTTTAAGCCTTTCGTGTAGTTAAATTCACTGAAATCTTACACAAAAGCTGCATCTGAAGCCATTACATTATAATTCAGCAAAGTTATTAAACATTAAGTACTTCTGGTAGGCTTATGAAAGCTGCCGGCCAATATGAGCCCAACATATTAGATAATGAAAGTGGGGTCACTGTGCTAGCAAAAGCAGCAATTGAGCATGCCTCCCTCCAGTACCAATACACAAACAGCAATCCTCTCACTTTTAATGAGAGGGGAAGCCTTGGAGGCTGCATCAAGGCTGCAACGGGGAACTGATTTTGCCTGCCTGTTGCTAACAGCCAGAGGCTGCCATGATAACACAGACATCACTGCTTAAACACCTTCTTGGAGCATTGCTGCCTTGGGTGTCTTTGTTCCTTGGTAAAGCAATAGTCAGAAAAAAAGGTCAGGTGTTTAGTGCAGTAGTTTTCAATACAAAGGAACAAAGGGTACATCACTTCTGTTTGTTATTAAGAGATTCACGATACCAGGATGAACTTATACTTTCCACTGAATCAGTTTCAGTTCTGAGTCTCTCACGTCTTACATCAGTACTCCCTTCGACAAACCTCTTTAAAAAGAAATAAATGTATTAAACGTATGGGTTTTTTCCTCACATGCATGGCAATGCTGGTTTTAGCAATTTAAGACAGTTATCATGAAACGGAAATAGCATCCTCTGGTCATCTCTGCAACAGAAAGAAGCAATTCAGAATTAAGTTTATGCTTAATGTAAATACGACTATGATAAAATGAGAAATGAAGAGTTAAATAGCAGCCCTACAGGCATGACTGTTAGGATACATTTGTTAACAGCAATTTCTGACTTGAACTATGGAGTTTCATGCCACCCGGCCCCCCCATATGCACTCTCTCTCAAAGGAACACTCTTGTCCATCGCCCTTATTGCAGTTCTTCACTGGCTTTCAACTACCTGGCAAACCTCATTATCCAAAAGGTGGGCAGTCTTTCCCTTTCTCTGGGGTTGCTGCTTTTTTTGTTGCTGACACTATCAAACAATAACATGTATTTCCATTACCCTGCTAGGCTATATGGTGCACATCATGCAGCTGTATTTCAATTTTTTTCTCTGTTTTGAATATTTCAACAGATTGAATCAGAATTCTTAGTAAAAGACATTTAATAGCAAGAAATTTTGAAACCACATTTAAGATTTCTGCTTTAAGTTTAAAAATTGTGATAAAAAGCTTTACAAGCACGCAGAAAACAACAGTCCTGAGGATCTTATAAAATAAACCTGTAGGAAGATATGTAGTTGAGTTGCCAGTTCATGGGTGCAGTTAAACCATTTGTAATCTAATAGATTTATGCTATAGATAACACTACATTCAAAACAGAGAATTTTATTGGACCTGGACTATTTCCTCTTCCACACAGTTGTTTGGTTACAGATACCAATCTTATTGTGATTTTGACTGCCAATAGCCTAGGGTTTATTAAACACTCTGATAAACCAAGGAGAAAAATATGAAAGCATTTAACAAACTATTAAAAAAAGACACCCAAACAGTCATAAGAAAAGACATCAAAGTTGCTGAGGATCTTCTATTTAAAGAAAAAAATAAACAAAAGACATAATACCACAAAAAAAAAGGAAAAGGATTATCTTGTATTAGTGAGGCCTATAATGACTGCAATACATAAAATGGAACAGAGAGAAGCAGAACAGTTTCTTTTGTATAGCAAATCAATAACAGAATGTAATTTTTCATTTTTTCCCCTACTTTTACCATAAGAGATTTTTCTTTTTAAGAAAAACTGTAAGTAACATGAGAGGTAAGATGTCCTGAAAGGATACAAATGTGACATTGGCCCATGTACAGACTAATTTTACACAGAAATATGTAATTTGGAAAGGAGCAGAACTGAACTTGGATGCAGTTTTAACTGTAATTAAGGTGCGTGTATTTATTCTTCATTTCTTAGTTTTGATGGAAGATGATGCTTAATAGCGCTAAAAGAGAATGGAAACACATACAGCCTTTCTGGGAAAGGATGCCTCTAACCTGTCCTTTCCTGTTTCAGCCCAGTACCTGATAGCAGCCTGTTTACCTGGCATGGTGTTCTCATTCTTGCCCTACACTCAACCTTATACCAACCCTCTAGGGTCCCTCATGCCATCATCAGCTGTGCCTCTGCTGGGGACCTTGCCAGAGGCAGTACAGATTGCCACGCTGGCAACACAGGCAATGGGGCTTTCTCACTCATTTTAGGAGAATTATAGTAGCTCAAATTGTCATCAAAGTTTACTGATAAACATTAAGGCTGTTTTCATGAGATACAAGTTGCAACTACAGAAGCATACAAAGGATTTAAACACTACATCAATACATAATTAAATTTTCCTTTTCCAAATTCGTCTTGCTTCGATTTTTTAGCAAGGGAATGAAAATTTTTAGGGAAGAGTCACAGAAGCACATAAACCCTGTGCTTTTCTAGAGGCATTTTTAAAGTTACGTTTCTTTGGTGCACGTGGGCATGCTTCATGAAGTGTATGACTAGAGAATACCAGGCCTTCTCCTCCAATATTTAGGTTGATCACCGAACAACGCATCAGTTTCTCCCATAGTTTCTCTTTTACACTGCTTCAGGCTAGCTCCTGAAAAGTAATTTATCTTCACCATTTCCTTTCAGTTTGGCTTTTTATTGGAAGGAACATCTAGTCTCCCTGCCAGACCAATACCAAACGCTGTTTCCCTAAGATGTGTGGAGACATGGGGCAAATGGTAAAAGGAAAGACTGATGGTGGGGGGAATAGGCTGGAATACCTACCAGAGGAAATGCTGGGGGGTAAAGATCCACCCCCTGACACTGGATGTGAGGCCAGGATGCTATTTAAAAATCCCGCCCTCAGGAATCTCGAAAGAGACTTCACCCCAATGGTCGGAAAGGATCCTTTCAAAGAGATAAAAATGATCATTAATCAAATGACTTGTTCTTTGGCTGATAAAAGAAGTCGACTGTTTAAAGAAAGAATAACCAAATCTATGCAGAGTTAACAGTTTCACTGGAACAGATCTTATAAAAAGCAGTTAAAAAGTCTTTGTTGCTTTTTAACCAAGTCAAACAATACACAGCTTTAACCAGAAAGAGGTTGTTTTCTGCATACTTTGCAAATGAAGAACTCCAGCACCTTTAGGAATTGAAAAAAAAGGTATTTAAAGGCAAATTACAACTACTGGCTATTCATAATGCATTCCAAAATAACTGTGCTACAGAGGCATTTTACAGTTTTGTATACAAACCAAAGAGAGACCAGTAGAGGTGAAGCTATACCACCAAAGGTGTGTTTAATCTAGTATTTTAAAGCCACCTGACAGAAGTCTTGTCAGACAAGAGGAAAAGGGGAACCAGAATTTGGAGCTAAGTTACTGACTTCTGTGTCATGGCAGCTATATCAGCCAGAGCTTCCATCACATCTCCCAACAACTGTCAGTATATATGGATCCAGGCCAAAACCAGGAGAACAGACATGGTCCCTTTCTGCTTGCTCTCACCAGAAGCTTAACACACTTTATGCTTTCAATATAATAAACTTTTTATTCTTCTCATTGCCTAAATGTACAGTTTTATTTCTGGAAACAATCATTATCTCATCCACCTCTTTTAAAAGAAGTATTTGTGACATATCTATTAGAGTGATGATATGTGATAGTGATTTTATCATCTCATCCACTGTTTCAGCTTTCAGCACACATACAGAGATCTGGAGACATTATTTCAGCTAACTCGTGTTAATGCTTAGTTAATGCCAGCATCAAAGACGGATCTGAAATGAGAGCTCTACACACTGTGCTTAAAAGCACAGAGTCAAGATTCTCTCATCTTACAATAAATTTAAATCGACAATCAGAATAATTTAGGGGTTTTTGCAAGTACATCAAGCAAGCATCCATCCAAAATTTTAGGCATTGGCAGGTTTGTTTTCATCACCTTGCAGGTATTACACGATTGTTTTTTTAAGAGAAGGAAAACATCTTAGTTATTTATATACAATGAGAAAAAACAAATGGCCCTCTTGAAATTAATGCAACAGTTGTTTGTTTGCTTGGCTTCTTAACTCATAAAATACAGAGAGGAAAATCTGGCATCAAAACACACAGATGTATCTGCTGAACTTAAAGTAGCTTAAGAGAGCTTTGAATTTTTCTCTGCAGTTTTCAAGCAAGAGTTCTATTGTTTCTTCTCAATACACTTGCCCTTTAAATTTGTTATGGGACCTGCTACAGTCTGTGGGAGAAGAATCAATTTAATTAGTGCTCTGGATGCAGTATTTTTATATAGGATGGCTAGAGAGAAGGCACAGAAGTTTTCCCTCTGACCACTCCTGAAAAGCCCTCAGCATTCCTGTAGAAGTGTTGCCAACATGGATAGAGTCCAGAATGAAATACACAGAAATTCAGTATTAAAATGGGAAATTGTTTCATTAACTCCAAGATATCCGGTACTAAACAGCATCCTAAAACATGAAGGCTAAATAATGAACATACAAAGGCTTCCCAAATAAAACTTTGCTTCTCTGATTCAAAATAGGAATTATACCAACCATAAAGCACACCCACTGTGAGTCACATACCATATGTACAAAGCTTCAGAAAAGCCAAACAGCATGAGCTGCACCATCGACATTTTCTTACATTTAAATGGTGTTAAATGCCAAATAACTCATTTCCTAGCAGTCTTACAATAAGTTGCTTTGTTATAGAAGGTAATGAAGACACACTCAAATTCATTTCACTTATTGTACATATTCAGAAATGAAAACGAGGAGCAGCAAATTTTGGAGCAATTCAGTCAGTGAATACTAAGAGAGCTGGAGGAATAAAATTATTGAGGCTTTATAAGCAGCAAATAACTAAAGGAATACATACAAATAATGTTTTACTCTCACACTTAAAAGATTCAGTTGCGTAAGTGTAAAATCTTGGTGTCATTTGAGATGCTCCAGAAAATCAACACTCATATCTGACTGGCAGATCTGACAGTATCTGCAGGAGATTTGCACTCTTTGTAAGTGGCAGGAAAAGGAAAAGCAGTATTAATTGGGTATCTATGAGCAGCCATCTAGTGTTGTTTTAGGCAATTTAATCCCATCCATATAGTCTACTGTCACTTCAAAAATGCCTCTGATTAAGTAGAAGAGAGAGTTACAAGAACAAGACCTCACTTAGTCTCTCCTAGAAGTCCACAAACAGCTTCTGAAAAGAATGATAACATTCAGCCCTGATCAGTATCCATCAACACAAAACTGCCAACAAAGGAGAGGCTGAAAGTTCATTAATCTTTTGATACTATTGCCTGCAAAATGGGAAAATGGTTTGAGATAATTACATGACTATATATGTGACATTGATTATCATTGCACATAGTGGGTAAAGAAAATTAATTCTCTTACATCCCATCAACCACCACCAGGACAGAGGTTTGATAAGAGCCTTGGGCATTTACAGTAACATAGGAGCTTACTCAGATTTTAACTTGTCTGCATTAAAACATTCATTAAATACTTGAAAGAAACTTTGCAACAAAAACCTGTGTTCAAGACAGAAAGGGAGAAAGCTCTCTGGAAATACCACAGAAAAGAAGGGAGGGGTGAGCATGATATTAAGGAGAAAACATCAGTTTTGCAGAAATACAAAATTCTGTGTGGAAAGCAATTCACAATGATTATATTTCCTTCTAACTGTTTTTTTTTCCAATTGGGCAATGAAGACGTCGTCTTTCCTCTTTTTTTTTCCAAACTGGAGTCATGCTTTGCTAAAGCCCACCAAAAACGTGCCTGCTGCTTCGTATCCTGCTGCTTTATGCTCCAAATTGGAAAAGCAATAGTCATTTTTTAGAGGTGTATGCTAGCAATAGAAATCTTAATGCTTAATTTAAATCATCTCTTTGAAGCAACCACTCTGGACACTTTCAAGATGCTAGGATATTATTTCTTTAGTTAAACAAATTCCTTGAGAAATGCTATTCTGTCAGGCACATCATATGGAAACTACTGCTTTACGCTCGTTCTGTTGTTCCGCGTAAAAATCAACGCTTATTGTTGCAGTGGGTGCCGTTACACTAATGGGAAGGACTTTTAGTATAAGGTTTTACTGGTTCTAAATTGGGAAAAGGAGACATTAATATTAAGCCACAGTTCCTCAGGGCTCTGAAATACAGCTTTTGTTTAGCAGCTTACTGGTATGGATTTATTGAGGAAAAAAACCCAACCTCTCCCTGCTCCATGAACATTATGCCACCTTAACATAGGAAAATGCATTAGCTACAGGTATTAGTTGGAAAAGTGCATTGAAACGGTAAAAATATATGACAGTACTCTGAATAGCTGACAGTTCATGAAGTATACACTGTTTACTGAGTCCTGTGATACCAGTTTATAACTCAAGGGTAAATTCTTCTGTTTCACAATTACAGCAGCTAAGTGCCTGTGCTCAGAGGCAGTGGGGGAGTGCTGAACCAATTAGCCTGCCTTCCACCTTCATCTCTTGTTCCAGGGGGAATATCATCCCACAAATTGTAGAATTTGATAGGGAAATCACTGGCATCACATCCTAAACTGGCATAGTTTTAGTAGCGTATTATCACACAGAGAAGAAGGGCAAGAGTAGATAGCTGGGTTTAGGAAATACATATGCTTAGCTCAGCTCCGGAGTACATACACTAATTCGCACACAGTTATTAGCTCTTGCATCATGGCCAAGCAGAAGGAACAGACATTTCTCCCCACACCAAGGGCACATCCCATGGACTAGGTCTAGCAGCAGCGTAATTGTGCTTAAGAGCCATAGATACACAAAGGACAGACGGCTCTGCCACACAGCTCAGCAACAGTACTCAACTGATGGATGGATGGATGAAGAGAATGGTGCCAAAGACACTTGGTACAATACTGGTGGAACAAAATGAACTAGAGTGGAATGCACAACTTCTGTTTGGGGGGGGGGGCTTGTTAGCTGTAGTAAAAATCATTTAAAAGAAACTAACTCACAGGGACTGAGCCAGCTGATAAACTTTAACCTGACCCATTATTTTTGCTGCTGACACTTTACAGACACTTCAGCATAAGACCCTCAGAAACTGAAGACAGTTTAGTTCTGCTAATGACAGTACACGCTTACTCACCATCTGCTGACCTGAGCTTAAGCATTCCCCCCAGTTTTGCTCCCATATGCAGTAAAGTGCCAGCACACTAAGGGCTGTCTTTGGGGCCCACATCCCACCCTTTCCTTCTCTCCAGCCGCTGGGTTCTGTGCCCTGCTACCATCAGCAGCACTTAAGCCAATGCCATGGTAGTCCCCTGGGTCCACAGGACTCACAGGGATGGCATCTGAAGTTCCTAAGTCATGCAGATACAGGCAGGCAGGGCCATCAATCAGCTTGTTCTGTTTGTGCCAGGGTCCCTGGGCCTTACTGAGAGCAAACAAAACACTTTTTTTTTCACTACAGCAACTGTGCTTGTAGTGCAGCTGGTGGAGATTTGCTTTTCAAAAGGAGAACCTGGCCTAGTTCAAGATGTCCCTGACTGTTGCAGGGGGTTGGATTAGATGGCCTTTGAAGGTCCTTACCAAACCAAACTATTCTGATGCTATGATACAGTGAATGCTTCAGTCTCTGCATTGTGTCTAACGACCTGGCTGAAATAGGTTATTGGAAAGCCTGCTGAAGATGCAGACAGCTCTTCAGCCATGTTACCTGCTGTTGGTTTTTCTTGTTTATTATACTTTAAACTGATCCATTACTTTCTGCAGGTGGAATTGACCATTTCAGGTGTTGTGCATTTATGCGCATCTGAACAGCTTCAAAGTCCAAAGGAGCTCTTTGGCTGTTCAATTTAATAAACAGGAAGGAGATGTTATAGAGAGGTCACACTTCTTTTTACTAGTACCCTCTTC